TCGTGGTCTTCTTGTTGCAGGTGTGCGGCGTCTTCTTCCACCTCGAGGTCCGCTATGGCGGTCTGCCTCCTCCGGCGGTCACTTCAGCTATGGCCCATCGGCCCCGCAAACGTCGCGCGGGTACCTGCTCTGATACCAGTGCAATCAGCCTCGACTTAGTCACACTTCGACATGCATGCAAACAGCGAAACGGCAAACTGGCAACATGCGCCAGCACAGTACTCGAAGATACCGTAACCAGATAAGAGTTCTCTTCCAACTGGCTATGGCGACTGTGCGCCCGCACAACTCACTGTTCGCACTCTGGATCACCCTGGATGTCCCACACGCAACACTCTGCACTTACGCGCGACACACACACACACTCACTACTAACTACAGCTATGGCAGCTGTCGCTGCATCTAACCTATCGCTATGCTAACTCCCCCCTCTCTAGCCCACTGCGTCCTCCGGGCTCATCTGCAGACCTCCTTGCACAAGTCGCTGTGGCAGCGCTTCCGCATGGCTCACGCAGGAATCAATGAATGGCTGGGCGCTGCCTCTTGATTTATACTTCAGAAACTCGTTGGTCTGACCTTTGCCATCGGCCCTTGATGCTCACAGTCCCCCTGTGGTACTTGCTGGACCGGACTGGGACTGACTGGACCCTCTGCTGACTGACTGTGGACTCACCGCTATCCTACCGACATTGTACTGCTGTTGCACTGTGGTTTAGTCCACCACTTGCCTCACCACTTGACCACTTGCCCACTTGCCTACCTTCTAGAAGGTCTACAGCTACGCTTCCGGAACTCACTAAGACTCCTACGCTATAGACCTACAGATCGAACCCCTGCTGTTTATGGGCCTACCACAGGCCTACCAACTGCCTACGAATACACAGGTCACAGGTTCAATTCTCGGGGTCTACACAGATACTGTACATGGGTAGGGTGAGGTCTAGGGATCGAACCCTGGATACTGCATCACCACTGCTAAAAGGTGAAAACCGTTTCACTTGGCCCGATGTTCGAAGGACAGCGCAAAGAAAAGGTTGTCCCTCCTGCACTGGACGCCATGCCCAGTACTGCCCGTAAGTCTCCCTTGATGAGCCAACCCCTTTGGGACCTTCCAGGTGCAGAACCAACCAAGAAGATGAAGATGCAGACCACCATAGCCAGGTATGCGCAGCTGCACTCTCCTCCTTGCTCACCATCTTCCTCCTCCTCCTACTTCCCGGAGTGTTCCTCCTCCATAGCCCGCCTTCTTCCTCCCTACACGCTGGAACGCCAAGCGCTCGCTCCAGCAGCGCGACGCCAAACTTGCACACTGCAAAATGAGGAAGAGCTCATTGCTCTTCCCAAAGATATACCGGGAAGCCGCCTCCTAGTGTGGCGACTTTCCAGGCCACTCGGCCTCCCAAGCTACGGGTACCTGCCTTCTTTCGGAGGGAAGAATCATTGCAGGTCTGATATCCTTCGCTACAGGCCCCAGACACAGGCTACTGGATTGGTACCTAGGCCTTCTGGAAGTCTAGCTTTCCTCGGGCTCTAAAGGTACTAACTTTTTGTCTTCTTCTGCCTGCCTACCTGCTACTTGAGTGTTTTCCAACCTACGTGGGTCTAGCCTACCCTCCACTTGGAGTGTTTTCCATCTACACGGGCCTAGCCTCCGACTAAGTCCCCATTGCAACCCGACAAAAGCATCGGCACGGGTTAAGTACCAGGCCCGATGGCCTTCCCAGCAGACAAGTACCCTTGCGGGTCAGCAACCTGACAAAAGCATTGCCACGGGATAATTGCCAGGCCCGATGGCCTTCCCAGCAGACAAGTACCCTTGTGGGTCACACACGCACTCTAGCAATCATGCAATCAGACAAACACATGGAAACTCGCACACACACACGGACTTACAAATCTCAGCAGAATGTGGGAATCTCAGCAAGTTGTACAAACTTGCAGCAAATCTCAGAAAACAGGCGAGTTCTCAGTCTGTGATTTTGCTGACCATTACACTTGGGAAATTTCTGAAATTATTCTTCCTGTTATGCAAAGGGTTCCACTGTTGAACTGCTCTGACTCAGACTCAGGCTCTGATGGACATGTTCTGCTCAGACTCAGACGGAGACTCAGACTCAGACTTGGACTCTGATGGACATGTTCTCCTCAGACTCAGACGGAGACTCAGACTCGGACTCCGACTCAGACTTGGACTCTGACGATACTCAGACTCATACTGAGACTCAGATTCAGACTCAGACTGACTCAGACTCAAACTAAGACTCAGACTCAAGGCTAACTGAGACTGAGACTCAGACTCAGACTCAGTCTCAAGACTCAGACTCAGACTACAACTCAGTCTCAGGACTTAGACTGAGACTGAAACTCAGACTCAGACTCAGACTCAGACTCAGACTCAAGACTCAGTCTCAGACTCAGACTGAAGACTCAGACTGAAGACTGAAGTCTCAAGACTCAAGACTGAAGACTCAAGACTGAAGACTCAAGACTCAGACTCAGACTCAAGATGCTGTTTTCCCTCAGGTCTGTGGCCGCTTTGTGCTCACAATTTCTTACTATTTGAACTGTGTGAGGGATCTGCAGTGCTCCAGCTCTGAGGATGGTAATCTGTGGGCACTTGCTGCACCCACAGGTCAGGTGTAGTATGTGCTTCCTGTGAGGTGTTTTTTTTTTCCTTTTGTTTCTGCAAGGTTCATGCACCTGCAGGTCAGGTCTGGTGTGTGCTGTGCAGTGAGGCCTTCCCCCCCTTACCCTCCCCCTCCCCTCCTCATTTTAGGTCCTTATTGTGGAGCACCCATGGGGTAGATAGTCTACGTTTCCGCTGGGGGTAGAGCCCGTGTTTAGTATTCAAGGTCTAATTGGGGTGGCGCTATGCAAGGTCGAGTGGGTGCTCTCGACTGGGGCTGTGAGAGGAAGATAGGCCAGTTTTCCCAGTGGCCTATGGCCCCGGTGTGCTCCCCTTTGGTCTGTCAGGGTGCCGAGAAAGAGGGGCAAGGGGCTTACAATCTGAACTGTGTCAGGTGTGTGCGGCACTCCAGCTGTGAGGATGCAACACACTGTTGAAACTGTGCGGGATGGTTCTATTTGAATACAAAGAGATGTGCACTATTCGAATATTGGGTCAATAAGAAGCAAAGTTAGCAAACGCTAATCATGCGGTCGATGGTTTGAAGCAGTACTTCCTAGCTCCGGCCCTTGGCACATATAAATGTAAATGAGTTCACTCTTTTATTTTGTTTAAAGTTATTATTTAAGGTAGCTTGTTTTAAACCACCAGTACCTCGGCCAGCTTAAAAAAAAAGTCGCGGCCGTTAACGCGTCGTGACTTTCGGGGTTCGGGGTAGGGCTCGGTACTGGGATGGCAGTCCAAGCTGGTGGGCCCAAGAAATTCGACATATACACAGGGCGATGCGTGTGTTTCTACATGCTGAAACGAACGGGGAAGAGTGTCAAGTAACTAAAAACAAAAAGAAAAACAAAAAGATAAATGCGGTTGGGCTGTAGAGGAACAGCACACTCACAGAATGCAGCCCACTCACAGAATGTATCTTCCTGTTTTTGTGGCCTGCTACATACGAGTCTCGACGCCAGCATGTAGTATACCCGATTTCGTTTCTTAGTGTTTTGCTGGTAAAAAAAGAAGAAAAGAATAACGTCTGCTGTATCTGATGTGCCCCCCCGTGAGAAACGGGGAGGATCCAAGTGCCTGACACAGAATGGTAATGTGCCAAGAAAGGAAAAAAAAAACAAAACAAAAAACAAAAAAAAACAAAGGAGGAACAGCACTCTCACGGAATGTATCTTACCGTTTTTATGGTCTGCTTCATATGAATCTGAAGGCCAGCTCCTTTCTTGTTTTTTTCCTCGTAACAAAAAAACAAAAAACCTTGAATGTCTGCTGTATCTGATGTGGCTCCCCGTGAGAAACGGGGAGCATTGAAGTCCTGCCAACAGAGGAACGCCAGGAAGTCTCACAGTAGCAACGGCCGTTTGTCCTCTCTTCCTTTTTTTTTCTTTTTTTTTTCCCCAAAGGACTGCTGTCTACACGATGTCCTCGAATGTGCTTGTGGCCACACCCCGGGGTGCTGCACGAGTGAAAACGATGACGTAACCAGTGCCAGTCAGCAATACACTCCTAATTCGTTCCCACCCCGTCCAGGCTCGGCAGCCCTTGGCGCGCAGGCAAAATGTACGTTCGGGCCTCAACAACCGGTACATACTGGTGGTTTAAACCACCACTACCCCCGCCGGCCTAAAGTCGACTTTCCTTGCCTTACGGACCGGGTTGTTATGGGGGGCGGCCACCGGCAGGCGCAGGCGGGTCCGGCCCAAGGATTTTCAGGCGCCAACTTTGGCAATTTTTTGCGCTCAGCAGAATTGACAAAAATATTTGAAAAATTGATACCCTGTAGATTAGGTTGTGAAATAAATGCCGTGTCGTTTGTTGCATTTTCCATTTTTGCCACTCTACCACGTGTGGGCCAACGGGAAAATTAGCTCAAATTTTGTGATTTTTTGCTCTGAGAATGACGACTCAACAACTCTGAAAATTTGAGGGTCTGTAGATTTTGTTGTTGTGATCTTAATAGGAAGAATGCGTCAAAAAATCAAACCGCAAAATAAATCATGGTGTTACTGTCCTGGCCAATTTCGAAGTATGCATTCATCAGAAAGTACAATGCCGTCCAATTGCAAAAAGAAATGAATGAACTTGAGAGGAGAGAGAGGGAAAGAAGAGGAAGAAGAAGTAAGAAAGAAGAAGAAGATGATGTACTCCAGCATAGACCAATGACAAGGCTCTTCTTCTTTGCCAACCAATCTCCTCCCCTCTTATTCAAACAATAAATAACAATAATAATGTTGAAGGGCTGAACCAGGATCAATGTCCGAATCCCACTTCTACTGCAGGCACAACATGAGGTCCACCATAGCCATGGCCACCCTTCTCCTTCCTCGTCATTGCAGGCCGAGGCTATGGTGGACTACTGAGGCTTCAGCCTCCTGTCCAAAGGAGAACCCAAAGCAGCTATGTTGCTGCCACTTCAAGCAGCTATGCCACTGCTCACTGAACTGCCATGCCTGACTCTACCCAGAGCTTCCTTGGTGCGGCACTACCCCAACGGGGGCCTTCCAGATGCAGCGCCTAACAAGGTGATGAAGATGGTGTCCACCATAGCCAGGTAGGTACCTCGCCACTCTCCCCCTTGGTCCCCTTCTCCCTCCTCCTCCTACCAGCCGAGCTCCACCATAGCCGAGGTGGTAGCTCCGTGCTTCTTCCTCCCAGCAACGCTGTAGCAGCCAGCGCTCTTCCAACCAGCGCTCCAGCAGCGTGACGCCCAACTCGCACACTGAAGAATGGGGCCGAGCTCTTCCCTCGGCCTCTTGATATAGCGGCCTGCTTGCCTCCTGGGCGGTGACTTCCAGGCCGCTCGGCCTCCCAAGCAACCGGTACCTACTCCCTTTCGGAGGGAAACATCATTGCAGACTCTGATATTGCTCGTACAGGCTCTAGACTCAGACTGGATGGACTGGTACCGGCCTAGACCGAGCCTACCGCTACTGGTCCTCTAAAAATGCCAACTTTGTCTTCTTCTGCTCGGCCTCGAGTACCCGGCACATCTACTGCTACTGGGTGCGGTACCGGCCTACCTGCTACTTGAGTGTTTTCCCCTGCTGCAACCCTCAATGCCACGGCCACAGGTAAGTACCGGCCCTACGGGCCTGCCAAACAAGCAAGTACCCTTGCGGGTCACACACACACTCATGCTGACA